CCCTTATTTAAAGAAACTTTTTTGAATTCGTGCGAGCCATTTGAAGATATCCAAATTGCTAAGGATCCTCCTGCACATGTCCTTCGCAGTACAAAGTGGGGATCAGCCAACCTTATTATATCAATGAATACGTAAGTACGTACTGTACATTTGCATTTATCTAATTGATTTTGTAATTGTAATGCTTAGTCTACGGCAATTCCTATATCTGTTACGGGTCAAATTGGTTTTTAGGCCAAGTTAAACTTGACCCGGGTCAAATTGATCAATTAAAAAACCCGACCGGTATCAACATAATTCCGGCTCACCCTAAAATTCTGCTAGGGATTAATCTAACTAAATTGGTCTAAAATAGATTATCATTTTTACTTTTATTATTTATACGTCTGTGGAATTTATAGAATGGGTCAGTGTTCATAAATTGATACAATCTCGATATAATTTTAGATATGCGTATGTCGATCTTATAATGTTTATATAAAGAAATATCCTTCAGCCCAATGTAAGAAATACATTCTGTTTTTTCAAATAATCATCCAAACATTATGTCGGAAAAATTGAGCCCAGAGCAAGTTAATGAAGTAATTAACAATTACATTAGCCACTTTAACTTTATAATAAATAAATAGTTTGTCTATTTAACATTTTTCGAATTATTAACTGTCTTAATTATTATGATAGGCATTTCAAAAATTCGATTACAATAATAACGGTATCTTGTCCCTTGCCGAAATCGATAAAGCAGTAATCTATCTCTACCCACAATTTTCTGACAAAAAGCCTGTCCTCATGCGAGCTTACAAAGCTGCCGACACTTCAAAGGTTTGTCTAATAAAATCCTTATTTTAATAATTGAAATATACTGTCTCACACGTTATTATACAATCAGGACGGATACATCGAACGTGACGAATTCCCCCATCTCATTGAACTTCTTTATTATTTCAACGAAGTCTACGATCTTTTCCAGAAACTTGATAAAGATAAAGATAAACGTGTCGATTTTGAAGAATTTAAAAAGGGATATAAACTTTTGGGAATAACTCGGCTTTCAAATGATCAAATTAAGGCAGAATTCGACAAAATCGATACAAATCATGGAGGATATATCCTTTTTGATGAGGTAAAGTTAATTATGGTTTTTAATTGCAAATAAAATTTAAATATACTAATTAATCTCCATTTTAATTTCAGTTCTGTATTTATGCTGCAAAGAAAAAATTAGTTGAAAGTAAAACCAGTGCTTAATACAAAATTTTACTCGTAAGTTTTTATTCATTAAATATTCATATGTAAACTACGTTAATCCAAAAAAATTTAACATATTCTTTCTAATTAAAAGTTCGTACACACTTTAGTCGAAAGTCAAAAACTAGCTATCACTAAGGTTTCTGATTTCATTTTTTTATGTTTACAATATTATACGACTTGATTAGTTATCCATTTTTCTGTATTCATAACTTGTTAAATGTGTGCATTTGTTAGCAATTTAGTACTGGTGATTTATCTGAGACAAATCAAATTACTAGATCATGTCAAATTTGATGTCATCTTGTATATAAACCCATAGCTTATTATTTAAATTTGTATTAAAGTATACATAAAAAGGGTAAATCTATTTATCACCGATGAAACCAATCTGATTACACAGTCTAGAAACTTTAAATTTTCAAATCATAATAACTCAAACTCAAAAATATGATTATGAAACCAACCTGCGTGTCTTAAAAAAAGACCTACTCTAACGTTAAATCTAATTCTACACGGAATTCAAATCTTTATTGAAATTGTCGGATCAAGTATCAAGTCTAGCATAAGTGGCCCTATTATAATTAAATTGATTAATGTGTACCTGATCTCGTTAAAAATGTCATCCATACATCAAATGTTTTAAATCTTAAGTCCTAACACATATACGTATTATTTCAATCTTATCAAATAAAATCATTTTATATTCCGTTAAAATGCTTAATATTGTAATAGTAATATGCTAAATCGAAAATTTTTTTTTACATAAAAAAAATCTTTAATGTTAGACAAGTAGTCATCGAAATATTATTGTTCAAAGTTTAAAAAAAAAATTAGCTGCAACCTTTATTTTTATAATCACATAATTTGTGAAAACTTTAAACGTCGATAACTAGTTACTTAAAATCGCTAAATTTATTTTATTTTAATTCTACAAGTTCATTGAATTAAATTAAAAAAAATTTCATTGATTTTAGATAGGTTGTTATCGGGATATCATTGTTTTGATAATTTTTTAAATTTTTGTTGAACTTTAAATGAGAATATCTCGATAATTACCTAGCTAAAATCGATGAAAATTAAAATATTATTCAAAAAAAAAAAACTTATCAACTTTTTGATAATCGCCCAAATTTTTGTTAAACTTTGAGCGATGAATCTCGATAACTACTTACCCTAAATCGATAAACAATTCTTTTAATACTGTGAATTTATAGAATTAAAATAAAAGAAAAACTTTCTCAAGTTTAGATAAATAGTTACTGAGATATCATCGTTCAATGTTTGAAAAAAGTATGTAATCTGTACCATGGATCGTTGATGTTGACCAATCAGAACACGATAGTTCGAGTAGAATCTAACAACAACTCACTTTTTTTTTGCCATGACTAGAGTCCTATGGGTCAAATATTAGTCAAAATATTATATAATTACCGGCCATCACGAGTGTGTCTGTTCTTAACTAGGAAATCAGGATCTGATAAATGTCCAAAGCAATATGATTATTGATTATTAACGCACTATATAATCTTAACTGTATATTTTATTATATATATGTTACGAGTCAAATTGGTTTTTAGGTCAAGTTAAACTTGACCCGGGTCAAATTGATCAATTAAAAAACCGACCGGCATCAACACAATTCTGGCCCGCCCTAACCCCAAAAGTCTGCTAGGGATCAATTTGACCCGGGTCAAATTTAACTTGACCTCAAAACCAATTTGACCCGTAACATATATCAAATTTCTATTCGGTACCTATACTCAGTGTTGTTACGGGACAGTTGTGAACGGTAAGTTTGGACACTTTGGACAATTTTGGATAATTAAATAAATTAAAATTACTCAAAATTTTATTAAGATAACCTATATTAATTTCTAAGTAAAATATGTTCAACACATAAAAAAATATATAATCATATATTTTTTAAACAAATTTAATTATTAAAGCTTGGACATGCTCTGGACACTTGTGAACACTTGGATACTTGGATGTTAGACAGTATCAAAAAAGCCTTTGGACAGTCAAAACGTACAACACTGCCTATACTGTATATATTGTTACACTGACTGTCGATCATCACGAGATCCAATTTTAATTGGTTGTTTCCGCCGGACAGTGCATACATCAGGAAAATTTAAAATTAGATTATAATCAAAATTTAGATTTTAACCGATTTTTATCACCACCATCGATTAGATTTTTATCGATTATAATTGATATAAATTATTGCTATCGATTATAATCTTTTAGATTGTATCGATTTTTATTATCGATTTTTATCATTAACGATTATTATCAATTTTGATATGAATCAATTATCAACACCACCGTCGGTTATAATCGCTTAAAGTCAACCGATTATAATCGATTAACTGTTTTACAACTGATTATAATCAGGCTTTAAAATTTCCTGATGTAGAAGTCTTCATCTAATATCACACCAACGCAAATAAATGTATATTATATCACAAAGTTATAGCAAACTTAAAAATGGAGGTTTAAATACTTTTCGAATAATGCATTATTATAAATCTATTGGGCTACTGACATTACTGCCTCCGTGGCGGTAGTATTATAGGGAGGTATGTTTTAGTCATGCCTTATGTGATAATTCAGCGCGATTAATTTTTCGGTTTAATCGTTATTTCGCGTCTTTGGTATTTGTTTGTTTATTTTTATTTCATCAGTACATATAACAGCCAATCAACACCGTGGATCTGCTGCGCATTTTTTGTTAAATAATAAATTTATTGGCCAACAATTTTTCACAACAATTTCATCGTTATATATAACACCCATCAGAATTTTTCTTATCGTTATTCTTCTAACACTGTCAGAACTTTACTCATCGTTACTTCTAACACCTATTACCTTTTAAAAGATTTAAAAACACTTAACCATACCCATAAATTTCAAATTTTTACTCATCGTTATCATCATCTTTATTTTTAAATACCCATCAGAAATTCACTCCCTTTTCTTTTTTAAAAGGTTTAAAAGCAAATATGGCAAAACACCGCAATAAGAATGACAAAAACACACCTCCGATCCGATCAACTGAAAAACAGAAGTCAATGAATAAGTATGCAATATTGGGCAAAATTTGTCAAATAATGATAATTTGGCAAACTGGGACAAATAAATATATGCTGCTTTATAGTATATGTACTAATTATTTGCCAAATTATAATATTTGACAAATTGCAAATTTATAATCATAATTGGTAGAAAGGCATCAACTAAATTTTAATTTGAATAAATATAAGCAAATCATTTAATAGTAATCATTTTGGATTGCTTTTGTGATTATTTTGAGAGCCAGCCGCCAGGACGACAAGTGATTCGTCGGTAATCATTGAAAGTTTAGTGAGAGTCATTTAGTCACAATGTGTCAATTATAAAAATATTTTTTTCGTATTGGCTAAAAGTGTGTATATACGAGGATGTACTGCTTTTGTGTGGTACGTGTGTGTATGTACTGCTTTTGTGTGCAGGAGGATCCTTAGCAATTTGGATATCTTCAAATGGCTCGCACGAATTCAAAAAAGTTTCTTTAAATAAGGG